GATCTCTTCCAGACAACCTTTGGATGGACGGCATTGCAAGAAAACAATAAAAACGTGTGTGGTTTGCTGACAAAATAACATTATTTTTATTAAAGCCATAAAATAAAAATATATAATTTCTAAGTTTATCACGCAGAGAAACTCCGAGCATAGCCCTCTCCATAGCTCGCTGAGTGACTTTGAGCTTCCTCATCCGGCCAGCAGTGAAGGAGCACGTCTCAGTACCATAGGTCATCACGGGCAACACGCACTGATTGTACAGTCTCGTTTTCAAGTTTTGAGGTATACCTGACGAGAAGTGTGCCGTAATTTGCCGAACGCTGCCCAACCGAGTTGAATCCGTCGATTGACCTCTCGGTCGAAGGTGGACTTACGTAGTCGGACTATTTGTCCCAGGTAAACATACTTGTCAACAACTTCGAGATTAGTGCTCCCAACAACTACCGGCATAGGTGTGACATGGACATTAAACATGATCTTTGTTTTGTCCATGTTCATCTTAAGATCTATCCGTTGGGAAACACTATTGAGGTCATTGAGCATAGTGCTTAGGTCCTACAGCGGTTCTGCTATAAGGACTATATCGTCGGCAAATCGAAGGTGAGTGATGTACTCGCCATTGATGTTAATACCGTATCCTTTCCAGTCCAGAAGCTTGAAAACGTCTTCCAATGCAGCGGTCACCCTGTCTTGCAATTGGATAGGTTTCGTACTCTGGATCTGTACTCGGACAGGCATCGTAGCCCCACTGTACAAACTACTGTTGCCCAAAATCGGTCTTGGTCTTGCAGTCTTGGTCTTGTTCTTGCATTTTTGGAAGACCAAGACCAAGAACAAGACCGCCTCTTTTTAGCAAGACCAAGACCAAGACTGACTGTGCAAGATTTGCGCAAGAACAAGACTTAGCTTGCGAGACTCTTGCGTCTTGCAGTTAGGACTAAGTGTCGTTTCAGGGAGTATAGGAGTTCGGGTATACGCTTAGGGACTCTTATGAGACGCAAAAAATATAATGAAAATAAAATTGGAAAATTGGACTTATGCGCATTACGAACAATACCATAAATATACATAGCGAATGAAAATATCCATTAAAAGAAAAAAGAGTGCATCCCTAGTTTTGACCATCGGCACTTTGATAGTGCGCGGCGTCTAGTTGTCGGCGTCATCAAAGGTCGGATACTGACCTGTCAAAGAAATTGTGCAGCTATTCTTAAGTACAAGGTCAAGATACACGTGCCGGCGGCTACTATTGATATCGCATAATCGTCGCCGCCGCGCCACACGCACTACATTTGACACTGTTTGATTGCCGCCACAGAGTACATGTTCCAAAGAATAAAATAAGTTTCCGGGTGCTCAGAATGGACACGAATACATTATCCTGATCTCGCAAGAATTATTGTAATTAGATAATAGGTAGGTATCATAATAATTTATTCTAGTAAGTAATTATTATAAAATTAACTATATGGATTTATAATAATTACTTACTATTATTGTTATTATTATTACCTAAAAGATAAACATGTTCAGTAAGTTCACTGCAGATCTCGACTTTTGCAAGTGTGTGTTTTTAAAACACAAAGTGCTCGAATATGTCGTCACACATTTGATAAATATGGTTGACACCATAGCACTTTTAAAACACTTGAAATGTGTAAAAATGGATCTGGATGTTGTCTTCAAGACTTAGTTATTAAGGAGTTGAAGGGGCACCTAGGTAAACCCAGAGCCGTCATCTCGGAAGACATTTTAGACTGTTGGAGGACGCATGAGACAAAATATCCGATTTTATCGAAGATGGCCCGTGATTTTCTTTTAATACCTGCAACTTCAGTACCTGTTGAGAAATTATTTTCTAATGCATCATTAGTAATTAGAAAACATAGAAATAGGTTAAGTGATGAGTCAGCCAGATGGTTACTTTGTATTAATGCTTTGTCAAAAGAATAAATATAAAGTAACAGTAATGTGAAAGCTGTTGTGTACATACTGTGAAGTAATTTAATTTGCATCGTATTTTATTTTTTATTTAAATAAATTGTATATTGTATAACTTTTTTATTCCATTTCATATATGCTGAGGGTCCATCAATCTCTTTCTAGAGAGATAATGTTATTTAAAATACAGTGTAGTTATTGCCATTAATTTGTTTTTATATATATGTTTAACCATGTTTTAGCACATGTAAGCTTATTAAATGTAAACGTTTATTAAGAAACTGACGCCCGTGGCTGTGGGACACGGTAGATAGCTCAGTTGGTTAGAGCATCGGCACGGATCGCTTAGGTCGTAGGTTCAAACCCCACCCGGTGTCAGTTGATTTTTCGAATATCTCATTAAATGTTTAGACATTTATTAATATGGTTGGTCTTTACTATGGCTATGTTAATTCAAGCTCAATATGTACCTACTCTGTTAAGTTGTTCTAAGATCTAAAGTAACGTTTAATAAATAGTAATAGGCTAATAGGTCATTGCGAGACTTGCGAGACTCTTGCTGCAAGACCAAGACCAAGACCAAGACTCGGAGCGCAATACCAAGACCAAGACCAGGTGTATTGGCGCAAGACCAAGACCAAGACTTGCTAAGTCTCGTCTTGTTCTTGCATTTGGGCAACACTAGTACAAACACTTCAGCACTTCGATATACCGACAGTCAACTTGACATCGCTGAAGGGACTTCAGCACCGCCCAAATTTCGACGGAATCAAAGGCGTTCTCATAGTCCACATACGCCAGACATAGTGGCAAATTATATTCTTCGGACTTCTGTACAATTTGCCGAAGGGCATGTATGTGGTCTATGGTGTTAAAGCCTTGTCGGAAACCGGCTTGTTCGAGAGGCTGGAAGTCGTCAAGTCTGCGCGCGAGACGATTCGTAATGACTCTCGAAAACAGCACGTAGACGCGGCTCAGAAGGGAAATCGGTTTGTAGTTCTTCAAGAGAACGTTGTCACCTTTCTTGAAGAACAAGACCACCGCACTTCTGCTCCACGCCTCCGGTGTAATGCCACCATGGAGGACAGAATTAAAGAGCTTCTGAAGGACTTAAGTACCTGTTTTCCACCCGCATTTTTTTATAGGGTAAAGGTGACAAACGAGCACGCAGTCCACCTGATGGTAAGTGGTTGCTGTGGCCCACAGACATCTACATCTATCTTCGATTAAAAATCAAAATGCAGATGCGTTGACACCCGTGAGGACTAAGATGTAATGCCTCGTTTCCAGTAAAAAGGGTCTCCGGTTCTCTACACTCAACATACGAAACACAGCAGCGTTAAGCTGCTATTTTACGCTGGTATTCTGTGAGAGCGTGGTCCTTCCCCGGTCGAGCCGACCCATTCGTGCTACAACTATACTACTAATATAGCTGCAGCATGGCTCTACCACGTATAAAAGCGCTTTCAGAAGCTCCGCTGTAATTCCATCTTCGCCTAAGGCCTTGCCGTTTTTAAGGTGCTGAAGAGCTATTCTAATCTCGCTCAGACTGTCTTCGCCTAAGGCCTTGCCGTTTTTAAGGTGCTGGAGAGCTATTCTAATCTCGCTCAGACTGACGTCCGGGATATCTTCGGAATAGTGTCGGATAAGACTCGCTCTTGGATCGTTACTCACACTCGCGTGTGGCTCCAACGATCATGTGTACAGCTGCCCATAGAACCTCTCAATCTCACCCAAAATCTCAAGTGCCCCGGAAACGATGCTGCCACATTCTGTCTTCAGTTTTGACAGTTGGCTCTTTCTGGCAGACCCCGCTGCATGCATTTGGAGATCTGTCTGTTTAGTTGCCTGTATGCTGTCAAATCTGTTGAAGAACCTAGCTTCATCTCCCGTCTAACAGCCATGAGATTAAGAGTGTGATCGGAGAGTTTTTGTGTTCTTCTGCGGCGGGTCTTGCAGAACTTAGCTCCGACCGCATGGACAGTTTCCACGAGCTTGTCATTCATATCGTCCACTTCATTGCAGTCTTCTAGGCACTGAAAACGGTTTCGTAGCTCGAGCTGAAAGTTTTCGGGATTTTGGAATGACGTGACATCTCCAACTTAACGTTAAGGTTCAGCCTGCCTCTCACCATTCGGTGATCGCTGCCGGTTTTCACCCTCAAGATCACTGAGACATCACTGAACAGTTGTCGTCTGGTCTTCATAATAAAGTCAATCTCTTTTTTGTCGAACCGTTGGGGCTCGACCAGGTCCACTTCCTGTCGGGCCGCTTCTGGAAGAAAGAGTTCATCATAAAGTGTCCCTCTTTCTCCATGAAGTCGGCCAGCTGCTGGCCCCTTGGGTTCCGTAGCACTAATCCGAAATTCCCTACCTTCAGCTCACCGTTCTCTCTTGTGCCTAGTTTTGCGTTGAAGTCTCCCATTAACACCGTATAGTGGGTTTTGAAGGAATGCATGGCTCTAGATATATCCTCATACATTTCCTCCACCTCCTCATAGGGGTGTGCCGAGGTTGGTGCGTAAACCTGTATGACCTTCAGCGAATACCGGTTGGTGATTCTGAGTATAAGGTACGCAACCCTCGTCGACACACTCCCGATCTTTACAACGTTGTTAACGAGAGACTTGTGGACGATAAATCCGACACCTCCTTGGGACAGATGGTCGCCCTCCCGGTGATAGAACAAATTGCCGGATTCGGGGATTACCGTGTCCTCCCCCTCTCTTCGGACTTCGGATAATCCAGCGCAATTTGTCTATCTCTTCTTCCAGCTCCAGGATCTTCTCGTCAGTCTTCAGGGTGCGTGCGTTACAATATTATATCTATATCTATATATTATATCTAGGCGACGGAGGAAATAAACCAGATGGGCAGCAGCGTCTTCCTAATAACAAATAAAAATAAAAAACCGCGGTTGCCAATCCACCTGCATGGCAACTATGGCAAATATCCCCCCATGAGTCAATCCGTGGGGGAGGCCTATGTTCAGCAGCGGACTTTTATAGGTTGTAACGGTAACGATAAATGTCGAAACGAATAAATAAAAACAAACTAGTATGATTTAAATAAAATTTAAAAAAAAAACATGAAGGTCCGGTCTGTTTCCACTAACCACTCGGTACATATTTCAAGGTTAGATTTCACTTGGTTGCTTCTTTGGTTTTTGAATTAGCTTCTTCAGAATAAATGCAGTTTCAATTAGCACATATGACACGGAAAGGTTTTTCTACTCGTTCTACAGTTACATAAGGAACTCATGACAAATGGATTTTTATCTAGTATACTTTTATATTTATATAAAATACGTTTACATAATATTGTACATATTTTACCAGATCTCTCACAAAAAAGGTTCTGCTCAAGTGTGTGTTTTCATATGCCTTTGCAAATGACTTTTTCGAATACATTGATATTTACAGATATGACACGAAAAAGGTTTTTCTCCAGTATGTATTTTCATATGTGCTTGCAAATTACTTTTTCGAATACATTGATATTTACAGATATGACACGAAAAAGGTTTTTCTCCAGTATGTATTTTCATATGTGTTTGCAAACTACTTTTGTGAATACATTGATATTTACAGATATGACACGAAAAAGGTTTTTCTCCAGTATGTATTTTCATATGTGTTTGCAAACTACTTTTTTGAATACACTGATATTTACACATATGACAAGAAAAAGGTTTTTCTCCAGTATGTATTTTCATATGCCTTTGCAAACTACTTTTCTCTATACATTTATATTCACAGATATGACACGAAAAAGGTTTTTCTCCAGTATGTATTTTCATATGCCTTTGCAAACTACTTTTCTCTATACATTTATATTCACAGATATTACATGAAAAAGGTTTTTCTCCAGTATGTATTTTTATATGTGATTGCAATTGACTTTTTCGAATGCATTGATATTTACAGATGTGACACGAAAAAGGTTTTTCTCCAGTATGTATTTTCATATGTGTTTGCAAATCACTTTTTTGAATGCACTGATATTTACACATATGACACGAAAAAGGTTTTTCTCCAGTATGTATTTTCATATGTGATTGCAAACTACTTTTTTGAATACATTGATATTTACAGATATGACACGAAAAAGGTTTTTCTCCAGTATGAATTTTCATATGATACCACAAATTACTTTTATCAATACATTTATATCCACAGATATGACACGAAAAAGGTTTTTCTCCAGTATGTTTTTTCATATGCCTTTGCAAATAACTTTTTTCTATACATTTATATTCACAGATATTACATGAAAAAGGTTTTTCTCCAGTATGTATTTTCATATGTCTCTGCAAATGATCTTTTCTAATACATTTATAATCACAATTATTACAACAGTACACTTGTTCAGCGACGTGCGCTTTAAGATGTGCCAAAATGCGACCTTTTTGAGTTGTTTTAAATTCGCAAATATCACAATTAAATATTTTCGTTACTTGTGGTACTGGAGTTTGTTCAACTTGTGTCCGAACTGCAGTGGTGTTCTTTTGGTTCTTTTGCGTCTTATGACTGTATGAAATGTGTTTGGCGAGAATGTCTTTTGTTGAAAATTTTTTGCTACAACTATAACATTCAAAAATGTATTTTGTTGATGCCCCTGACGGTTTTTTCGTAAGTATATTTACACTCTTTTGTTTCAATATTTTCTTTCTCATAATATTTGCAGGATGCTTTCCTTTTTTATTAATTGGTTGATTATCTTTTTTGACTTTAGGCTTTGATTTAATAGTAGGGCTTTCTAAATCAAGGTTTCCTTTACGAACATCGTTAATGTTACAATCAGTAGAATTAGATTTAATCTTGCTCTCAGACGCTTTTGAAAAATGATTTGTCGGTATGATGTATGGTTCTGAAATACACACGAATTGAACATTTAATTTATTATAAGTAAAACTTTTTATTGTAAGACACCTTAAACGCATTCTCTATCAGTCAACCAGGGAGAAATAGATAAATTATAAAATTACATAATTATACAATGTTGCTAGATATAAAGTATTTTACTTTTAATAATGTGTATCATATTCATTTTTGGAGGGAAAGAATGGTAGAGAAACTAAATTCGAATGATAATGACGACGTTCTTCTCACCATGTTCTAGTATAGATGCTTCAAATCGCACACGGGACAAGCATTATACAGAATGACTGGAAGATTGACTTGTTGATTGAAGAAGATCATTTAGGCCATAATTATTTTAGACAGTCTGACTATACTTTTTGTTTTTGGTGATAAAACTAAAATTTTTACAGTTAATTGCTAATAATTGCCAATTTAATTAACGTCCGTTTTTTTTTAATTTAAGTAATGAATAAGAAATCTAAGAAAACATAGTCTCAGCATCTGTGTCATCAGACATAGTTTTGTACAGACACTAAGTTCACGAAAATTTTCTACGATTTAAAGAAACATAATTAACATTTTAAATAATAAACATTTTTGACACTACGTTAAAAAAAACTGATGGTACTTTAATTTATTGTTAGAACCTTTTTGAAAACATGCTTGCTTATTACTCTTTCATTTGAGGTATAACTTACACGCATTTGTTACAAATTTTTCAATTGTCCCCTAAAACCAGATTGAGGTAGAAAATTTAAATTTTTAGGCAGACTAATAAAAATTCTAATTATTTATTTGTTGATGCTCAAAATAATTGATGCGATTACTAACACAAGCACGGGCCCGTCATCTCACTTCTGTTGTAGTTACTTTCAACATCATGGTTTCAAATGCTGAATTAATTCTTTGAAATTTGAAATTCCGGCCATATAGCTTGAAGAAATGACAATGAATGAGGAAGTTTTACGAGTGGCAGCCTCGTACCAGTAGACAAAGTGTAGGGCGGCTCTCCATTAGATGGAATGATGACCTGGTAAGAAATGCAGGAAAGCGATAGATTCCTGTGCTTTGTGGCATTCTGTGGGTGAGACCTATGTTCAGCAGTGGACTTGTGAAGGCTGTAATGATGAAGATCTAATGATGCAATGCGCTCATCTTTTCATTTTAATTTTTATAGGATAGGGTGAAAAACGAGCACACAGTCCACACGATGGTAAATGGTCACTGTGACCCATAGACATCTACATCTGTCCTAAATAAAGAATCAAAATGCAGATGCATTGTCACCCATGAGGACTACATTGGAATGCCTCTTTTCCAGTAAAAAGGGTATCCCGTTCTCTACAATCACCATACGAAACACAGCAGTGTTAAGCTGCTATTTTACGCTGGTATTCTGTGAAAGCGTGGTCTTTCCCCGGTCGAGCTGACCCATTTGTGCTATAACTATACTACTAATATAGCTGCAGCATGGCTCTACCACAACTAAAATGGAATGACCCACAGCCTGTGATTATTCTGAATCTATACCCATCAGAATGGAACACAGCAGTGCACGCACTGCTATTTGACGGCAGAAATAGGTAAGAGGAGGAGGGAGGAGTCCATCTGGGCAGGCACAAATAGATCAACTCCTAGGCAAACATGGAGTCACACCACCTAGTACTGACACTAAGAAGATGGCAAAGATAATTGGTTGCTTACCAGTATGTATCTTTGTGCTTTTGACATGCACTTTGAATTTAGACAAAGGCAAATCAGTAAATCAGTACATTACACATGAAGCCCTCTTTATTTTGTGTCTACGGGCTACAGTAACCACTTGCCATAAGATAAATTGTACCTTATTTTAATAATATCAAGAAAAGGGGTATATCTTACCTGTTTCATGCTTCTCATTTTCTTCAAATTTGGAATTCTCATATTCGAAAATCTCTTCCTCAACTTTAACGGCATCAAGGCAAAAAATTTCGTCCTTGCAATCATTGTCTATATCACACTCTACAGACCAGATGTCTATATGATAAATTGGCGTGAATTTAATCTCACCTCTAACCTTATGCGGTTTTGGTATTGACTGAAAGGAAATAATTTTTTCAAATGAGAGAAAAAGCCACTATAGTGGTGGAGTAGGAGAACCCATACTACCCCCTGCCATCCCGCAGATGTCGTAAAAAGGGGCAGAGGGAAACTTAAACAGGAGATCGGGGGGCAGCATCTTCCTGACAACAACTTCAAATAATAATAAACACCGGACAAAAGTGAGGGTTCAGCGTAAACTTAAATAAGAATGTACATAGTTCATCTATCCCGAGAATCGTGTCTCAACAACTTTTGGATTCAGATTAACGAAAGCTGTAAATTGACAAAGATTTATCTTTGTTTATTGAGATTTGTTTATATACAATAGGGTAATATATAACAGTATAAACAGTTTGATAATTGTTTTGTAAAAATAAGGACTATTGCTCTAACAAAAGTAAGTTGGATTGAAGGACAAACTTAACTTTGAACACTAGAAACATTCTCCCATATAGCAATGGGAAGCAGCATAGAAAAGTGGATTGTGCAGTGACGGTGTAAGAATATCCACTATCACAGGGTCGGCAACTTTATATGGTATTATTAGATAATCACTTATTATTTAAGTAAAAAATTAAAACAAACATTTATTTACATTGTAAGTCTCACAACACTAACTTATACTTCAAGTACAAACAATTGAGCAAACAAATTCAATGGGAGTTTTGGCTTTGCATGGTTTTAGAAAGTTTGGATAAATTTGGCTTAAATAACTTGTTGTTTTAAGTTTTAAACACGAATCTGAATTTTCATTTGTTAGTTTGCTTGACAACTGTCAAACTGAACATTACGTAGTGATCGTCTCCGCATTTTAATTAGTAACAATAGTACAAAAGTGACCGATCGGAAAAAAAGTGCACTAAAAATATCGAACAAACAGTATTGATAAATTTAAACTAATAATCCTTTCGTGGGAAGTGCTAAGTACAGTGAAATAACCATCGAAAGTTTGCAAAATTATTGAAGTTATTAAAAACCATAGACAAAAATTGGAAGTCCAACTACTGTCAAAACCCTCAAAAGTTGCCAGGTCAAGCCAAAACCTACCAATTTGGTAGAAAATCGGTACCAAGTATGGACGAACAAACAAAAATGCTGTTGGCCACTATAAAGGAAGAGATTGAAAAACAAAATGATAAACAAACCCAAACCATAACCGAGACTATCAGCAAAACTATTGAAGAGCAACTGTTACCAATAAAAAAGGAAAACGAAGCTATGAAGGCTGAGATTTTGCTACTAAGATCGAAAGTAAAATATCTGGAACTTGAAACGAGGAAAAATAATGTCTTACTGCACGGGGTTGAAGAAACTGAAAATAACAATCTAGAATTAATGAATACTGTAATAGAACTATTCAACGTTCCCTGCACAACAGAACAAGCGGAGAAAGAGAAACACGACTGGGATGAATGGGAACTAAGCAGCATATACAGAGTTGGGAAAAAGACAGAAGGCAAGATAAGACCTATAAAAATTTCATGTACCCTAACATGGAGAAGAAACGAAATCTTGGAAATGAAGAAAAAATTCTAAGAAGGAGTCTACGTAACAGAAGATCTGTCTAAAGAGGAACTGGAAGAAAGAAAGGCTCTTATCCCAAAAATGAAGGAAGCCAGAGCATCTGGAAAGTATGCAATAATAAGGAATGGCAAACTAATAATACGAGACAAAATGGAACCTGAAAAGAGGAAGAGAGCCCAATCCACCCCACCTTCTACTCCCCCGGACAACTTCAGCAAAGCCCCTGGAGAACCCAAGTTATACCAACTTGCTAAAATGTCGAGAATCAACCCAGCAGAAAGAATGAGAAGCCAATCGAAAGCGAATATAGAGGAGACATCAAAAAACTAGAAATAGGCGGTAGTCGAAATGAAAACAGTAAAACAACGAATACCACCAAAACTAAATTAACATTCCCCAACCCGGCTGGTCCCCGTGGGGAATTAGACCACCACCCACCAACCTCAAAAAAACCAAACAAACATACACTTCTAAACAAACATACACTAGAAAACAACAACATTAACAACAAAGATAAATGTAATGCCCCCTTTAAAGAAAGTATCCAAATTGCAGCACTTAATGTTCTAACCCTAAAGTCGGACGAGAGTCTAACAGAACTAAGTAAAGCACTAAATGATATCAAATGGGACATTCTGGGTCTGAGTGAAGTAAGACGAGCTGGAGAAAACATACAAGAATACGAGGACTTCCTTCTATATCACATAGGCGAAAAAGAAGGCCAAAATGGGGTAGGATTTATTCTCAAAAAGCACATGATACAATATGTTGACGAGTTCATAGGAATTTCGGACCGTTTAGCAGTGCTAAATATAAAATTACCCAATTACGAAGATATGTGGTCTATTGTGCAAGTGTACTCTCCAACTGAACAAGCAGACAAAAAGACAATTGAAGAATTCTATGAGAATCTAAACAGTACTATAGAGAGACATATGCACAAAAACTTAATAGTGATGGGAGACTTCAACGGCCAGACAGGTGAAAGCTTGCCAGAAGAAAGACGTGTTCTCGGACCTTTTACATATGGAACTCGACGAAGCAAAAATGGAGAAAGACTCATTAATATGTCTTTCGAAAACAACCTCTATATTCTAAACAGCAAATTTAAAAAGAAAGGTTCAAGGAAATGGACATGGGTATCACCAGGAGGCAAATACAAAAATGAGATTGACTTTGTTCTCACCAACAAAGCAATGTGTTTCACCGATTTAAATGTTGTGAACAAATTTAATTTCAACACGAACCATAGAATGGTCAGGGCAGATCTCACACTACGACATATAAAGACACAAAGACCCAGGAGGCACTTTGTTGGTAAGTTGAGTATTCAAAACCTAAAAGAAGCTGCAAATAAACTGACCGAAAGATTTGCAGACTTTGAGAAAGAAACCAAGAACCTAGATATCCAACAGAAATACGACTGGTTTGAGACTTCAATCAAACTAGCAAAAAGTACCTGCACTAATAAAGAAAAGAAGAAAAGCTATTTATCAATAAAAACAAAAAATCTACTCGAAGCAAGGAAACAAGTAATCAGTTCCAGAGACAGAGAATCGTAGAAAACGCATATCAGAGCTGAGTAAAGATATAAAACAGAGTATGAGAAGGGATAGAAAACAAAACAGAAGAAAAAAAATAGAAGAGCAAATCATTAGAACAGGAGGAACAAAAAAAGCATATAAAGAACTGTCAGAATCAAAAGATTGGGTCACAAAAGTTAGAAATGAGAAAGGAATAGAACAAAATAGAAGATCAGACATAAAAGATATTGCTACATCATACTATAAACAATTATATGAGAACACACAAGAAGAACCTGGCGAAGTAATAGTACTAAACGATGATGAGGATGAGAGCATACCCTATATACTGCAACGAGAGGTAGAAGTAGCATTACAGTCCCAAAGTAAAGACAAAGCCCCAGGGCCAGATGGCATTGAAAATGAAATCCTATTAATGGCAAAAAATGTCCTGTTACCAGTTATCACGAAACTATTTAATGAAATTTTCGCAAATGAAGTTATCCCGATACAATGGACGCAATCTAATATAGTATTGTTATATAAAAAGGGTGATAAACTTAATATAGGTAATTACCGCCCGATCAGCCTTATGTCCAACTTATACAAAATATTTGCGAAAATACTGCTAAGAAGACTCGAAAGAAAATTAGACGACAACCAACCAAACGAGCAAGCAGGTTTTCGAAGAGGGTACTCAGTATTGGACCACATACATGTTATGAGGCAGATTATAGAAAAATCCCATGAATACAACCAATTATATTACATGGCATATATAGACTACAGCAAGGCTTTCGACTCTTTATTTCACAATAAGATATGGCAGGCCCTAAAAGAACAAGGTATCGAAAGCAAGTACATAAGGATACTGAGAGAGATATACAAGAAAAGTACAGCATGCATACAGTTAGAAAAGAAAGGAGAACCATTTAGCATACAAAAAGGGGTGCGACAGGGCGACCCGCTATCCCCAAAACTTTTTTCTGCGGCCCTTGAAATGATATTCAGAAGACTAAATTGGGATGGATATGGAATCAGTATCGATGGAACTTGGTTAACACATTTAAGATTCGCAGACGACATCGTTCTCTTTGCAAAAACCCCACATGAACTGAATGTCATGGCAAACGATCTGGCATTAGAAAGTCACACGGTGGGATTGAAAATGAACATGGAGAAAACGAAAGTAATGACCAACGGACCTAAGAATGAAAACATCAGGGTTGGCCAGAGTGAGATAGAATACGTTGATGAATACATCTATTTGGGCCAAATGATCTCACCCACAGACAACATGGAAAAAGAAATCAACAGGAGAGTAGCTAACGGATGGAAAAGATATTGGAGCATGAAGGAAATAGTGAAAGATAAAGAACTGCACATATCCATTAAATCCAAAGTATTCAACACATGCATTCTTCCTGTATTGATGTACGGATGTCAAACATGGGCTCCTACTAAATTAAACAGTAAGAAATTAAAAATATGCCAGTATTCGATGGAGCGAAGCATGATGGGAATCAGGAAAAAGGATCGAGTCAGGTTAGAAGACATTAGGTAAAACACAAAGGTTCGGGACATAGCAACAAAAGTCAGGAAATTAAAGTGGAAATGGGCTGGGCATATGAGTAGGGAAGGAAAAGTGGAGCAGAAAGGTCACAGAATGGTACCCCAGGAATGGCATAAGAAAGAGGGGGAGACCCCGCCAAAGATGGGAGGACGACCTGGTCAAATTCGCGGGTGTGACTTGGAACCGGGTTGCCAAGGATAGAAACGAGTGGAAAAGGTTGGAGGAGGCCTTTGCCGATTGGCAATCAGCAGAAGACAATGTAGATTTTATATGACTTAGATATTAAGAAATTGTATTACGTACTGTTGAATAAATGGCTTTATTATTATTATTATTATTAGTTTGCTTCTTACTTTACTTTAAATTATATTCATGCAAGAGAATGCTTGCTCGCACGAATATGTCGATCCGAAGATAGTCAGCACTACAAATGCCAACTTCTTCACCTCACTATAGCAATCTGGAAGACTATTCCATGTGTCAAATATAACTCAACTCGCAGCCTTTCTTTTAAAGCCGTTCATTTTTGTTGCGTTACGTACATACATTTCTGCACCTCCAACTTTTTTTTTTTTATAGAATGAGGGTGACAAACGAGCACACAGTCCACCTGATGGTAAGTGGTTGCTGCGGCCCATAGACATCTACATCTATCCTTTGTTACAAATCAAAATGTAGATGCGTTGTCACCCCGTGAGGACTAAGATGGAATGCCTCATTTCCAGTAAAAAGGACCTCCAGCCACCTGCACTCACCAAGCAAAACGCAAAGCTCTACTTCACGCTGGTTTTCTGTGAGGTCGTGGTACTACCCCGGTTCGAGCCAGCCCATCCGTGCGACAGCAAAAGCTACCGTGTGGCTCTACCACTGTTGAACTCCACAAAGCTTTACTTTTTAAATCGATCAATTGCATTTCTAGAGATCCAGTATCAACCCCAAATGGCTCAGTATGGGTTGATTTATAATTTTTTTTTATAAAATAAATAATATTTGCGTATGGAACTAGAGCCACAGCTTCACATCCAAAGAGCCGTATGTGGCTAGCGAGCCGCAGGTTGCCGACCCCTGCACTATCCTATATACCTATCCACGGGATGGGTGTCGTAAGAGGCAACAGAAGGAAACAGAAACAGAGGTAGGGCGGCCGCATGTTCCTGATGACAACTTAGACTAATATAAACTAAGGTTGCCAACTTGCCATGTGTGGCAAATTTGGCAAAATCCCTCCTATGAAGCAATCTATGAGTGAGACCTATGTTCAGCAGTGGACTTTTATAGGTTTTAATGGATGGAATGGATAATACCATGGATCCTCCTGAAAGCAACTGCTCCAGAACCACATTTGACTCAATAGCCTGTTGTTGTAATCTTCTGCAGCGAATGAGTCTTGCATGACAGGTGAAACAGACAATTATTGGCCCCTCAGTCTCATCCAACTGAAAAAATGAAAATCTTCATAAATATGAAATAGTATTCAAATACATAAGTGTATATAAGTTTGTAATAGAGATTATTGGCTACCACATTTTAATTTGTCAACATCATTTTTTATAATATTGAAGTGACAAATAAACTTACCATCTAGTAAGTGACTAATGGGCACCATAGGCACCTGCAACGAATTTCAAGCAATGGCTACAGATGCATTGTTACCTCTGAGGACTAAGATGTAATGCATCACAGCCTGGCTCTCGATGTCCTTCAGACTGGGACACATACTGCTGCTTGGTGCCAGAAAATGGTAAGAGGATGATATCTAGGCAGAAAGAAACTCCTACAGTTCCAAGCCATCTACATCCATCAACTACATTACCTACATTAACTTCAAACTGCTATCATCACTAAGAACATTACAAATACTTCTCTTATCGCTCTAAGTGAACTGATAATGCTTGTGGTAGGAGGATATTGAAACAAAACACAGGGTGGTGGGTGGTACTACACATTCTGTGAAAGTGTAGTACCACCCCGGTCGAGCCGACCCATCCATGATACAACCATAATATAGCTGCAGTCCGGCTCTACCACATATAAAATAATGATAATAAGTCTTTCTACTCTATTCTCTCATTTTAATAGTCCGATAGAACTGTTTTAATTTGCTGAACAACCAAACCAGGGTAAATGTTAATTTGTTGATAAAAAATCACAATAATAGTCATTCAAGTAATATGTACTAGAACAGACACCAGGAACAAAATCTATGCAGCAGTGCGGGTTGCATGGAAGGAATGGAAGGAGAATGTAGTACAATTAAGACCCAGATATTTGACACTTCACTAATCTACATGCTCAGCTTTGGAAAAATCTAGTAGACTGTAGACAAGCTAGGGAGGCCCTGCCTGAAATAAACAGTTGTTTAACCAAAGTTCTAATGAGACTGAACAAGCCGCAGATCAGGATATAGCAAGTGCTATCACAGGACATGGCAACTTTAACAAGCATTTATTTACTATAGGTGTTACAGATAATCCCCTGTGCAGGGCATGTCTGGGGGAAGAAGAAATGGCGGCCCGTGTGATATTGAAATGTCCGGAGGTCGCTACGTACAGGGCTAAACATCTCGGCACGACGAGATCACTCCCCAAAGTTGCATGCAACATCAAAGGACTGTTGAGCTTCTTCGGGGAGATCTCATGGCTCGAATAAGCATATTATTCCTGCCCAAACGTAAAATACACGCATAGACGTGGAGTTGCAGAAATCAGCCCGTAGTAAACTATACTAAACTAAGACCCAGATACACTAGGAGCCATTTTGCCCCGCAAGATGATGTGGAACACTCAATCTACATGACGATGCTACATTGCACAGTGACCCAGAACATTGTAAGTGACATGGGACATGTTGCTTATTCCCTCTTCGAGAGAGAGTACACGTGTCCGGCGTCAGTGTCACGTCATTTGTTACCGGGTGTAGTTGTGTGTACAACTTTACTTGCAACATGTCAGTTGTGTGGGGAAATTAAACCGTGCTTTTATTTCTTGAACTTTACCAGAGTCGTATTTTGTTATGGGATACTTCTAACCACTAACTTCTGGTGCTATTCTGCCGATCAGTTGTTTCAACACTCGAAAAGTGTATGACAAACAAGCATAAAAAACTCTAGTCAACAAGTATCTTAATGCAATGGCAAGTCTGATACTGATATGAGGGCAACAGCATTCCATAGTATAGTATCCTGTTTGGTTATGGAAGGTCCGATCATTTGTTATAACGTTTCAAAATCAGATGTTGACATTCGAGTAAAATTCACAAAAAATCTGTCAGACATTCGGAGATCACTTAAAATATCAATTTCTGTTTCTTCTCATTGTAGTAAGGAATTCTGAATCCACCACCTTTTCTTTCGCTTACGTTTCACTCCCGCAATAAGCACTACGTACACAGCACTAATCGCCACAACCTCTTTGGGAGACATTTCTATAAGCACTGACTACTGATTAGTGTGGCCTGCAAAAAGTTCCGCGACATGTCTCGGGACATTCCACGTATTAGTTGAGACATGTTGCGCAACATGCCGCTCCTTCCGTACCCAAGTATATATCCTACTAGGCTTTACTTAAATGATAATACTGATTTTAGTGCGACCCAGGATACCAGGCTAATTGTTATTTTACAGGTTCTGGTTGTATTTGTCACTATATTTAACGCTACATCTTAGAACATATATCGGGCAACATAATGTATTTCTTCAGTGATAACAATAAATTACCGCAACTTCATTTAGCAATAAATAAATATTAAAAAACTTACAAAACTGTTCGTCAATGTCTTATACAAATTTTGGAGGCCAGTCTCCTTTAGTGCAAACATGCGTATATTAACGCTTAAACAAATTCTACAAACTTCACCTTCACTAAAGGCCATTGCTGTTTTCTATAGCTTTATTAAAATTGATTATTGAATTCTCTTTTTCATCAACAAACCGGACTTTTCTCTTGTTATTTTTTTTTTTTGGTGTTTATGGCCTGGTATCTAGACCTTTAGGCCATTCTCTTGTTATTATTACAATTTATTATCACAGAATACACACAATTTTTTATAATCACAGAACACTATTACTCCTAACACTCCTTGGTATAAAAAGATACTCTGTGACTCCTAAAGTTTATAATGCGCCCAACGCGTAGTGTTTCTATATAGTTTGTGTTTTGTTTGTGGCCCAGCGTAGGCTCATGAAGTTATAGATAAAGATGGAGACCACACTCCGAATACCTACTTGAAGCTAAACCTATGCATTACTATCTCGCTCTCTGTGGGCAGGCCCTTCCTTTCTAAGTAGGTGACCTTTATTTTATTTTTCCCAGGATATCGCTATAAGTAGTTGAGTTACATTAAGTGTTTTATTTATAAATATCTATATCTCTGTTTACCACTAAGTCCTAGCCTATATAGATTATAAATTTTTGTACAATTTTTTTGAGAATTGACTAGTTTTATGAAGAAAGGTTTTCATTTCCATGGGCAGAACCGTTATTAAAATATGACCACGCATTTCCGTCACAACCCATATAATGCCGAGCCTGTTTAGAAAATGTGGAAAATAAATATATCAGAGAATATTTTATAACTACCATTTCGATAATGTATTTTCTGGTTATTGTATACAATTCCTAAACGGTACCAACGAAATATAAAATTAAAATTTATTATAACTACGGGTGATCAATGAATTGGGCAAAATATACCTGATTTATTGTTCAGAGAGACTAAATCTATTTCTGGACAATTATTTTAAAAAAATATCACGAGGACTAAAGCTTAATAACATTTTTTTTAAATTTCTTATTTATATTTCTGTACTTGCTAAATAACTAAATTATTATTATTATATAGAAATTGAATTTTTGACAAGGCTAACTTTAAGGGGAGGAACTGGTTCCTGAAACACAGTTACACTAGCTCAGGGACCAGGGAATCAATGAATATATGTAAAAAAGGTTGTTATTAAATAAATAAATAAAATAAATAAAAAAAAGCAGCGTAGCGGAGCTCCTGCCTTAGCCTTCTGACCTAACCCATCCGAGTCAGGCTGCTCTGAGCTGAAATGTGTATAATACTATATTCCACACATCCAGTTAATTTTAAGAGTTATCTACAATTCCTAGGAATTCTATATAATAACGGATTTCATAGATTTCTAGTAACATATGTACTATAATAGGAACGATAATATATTATTATTTTGAGTTGTTATCAGGAAGATGCCGCTGCCCATCTCCTGTTTAATTTTCCCTCTGACACCTCTTACAACACCCTCGGAACGATATGGGGTAGTGGATATTCTCACACCACCACTACATGGTTTGTTAAAAACCTTAAAAAAATAAATAAAGACTTTCCATATTAAAATTATTTATTGAATTTTTCACACCATGTGGATTACTCTGTGGCTTTTTGAAGTCCTTACAGATATGAGCAAAGCGCCCTTGAATAATATTTTCAATTTCTGATTGACCCGTATACTTTTTAATAGTGTCCATTAAAGAAGACCTATCCTGAATTTTTTAGTTTGGCGCGCCACTTTTTGCTTAAGAATCTTAGTTTTCGTCTCAAGTATTTCTTCTTTAGTACACTTTATTTTCACTTGCACGCCCCTATCAATCTTCGCGGGATCGTCGTATTCACTGCTGACCTAAGAAAACAAGAAAACTTTATGAAATCAGTATTTTTAGCATCGTACATCGTATTGCTCCACTCATAGGGTCGTAGCATGATGTTAGATAGACTTCCTGAAGAATTGGTTTTAAAAATGAAAAAAAAAATATTTTCAAATCAGACTGGTATAGTTCCAGAGATTAGAGAACTCTAACAAAAAAAAAGAAACAAATAACTCTTCTACATCATAATGTCAGTACAAATTTACATCACTTAATAGGTAACATATAATATACCGGAGCGCGCCTTCATGAGCACGCATAAATGAAGCATCAAAAAGAAGCTTTATGCTTAGTGTCGTAGTAACTATTACCACACTGCGATTGGCACTAAATAGTTTAAATATGTATGTGTTTTAAGCTATATAATACATTATGTAATGTAATATTAAAGTCATAATAAATACAAATAAAAGGTATATATTTAGTAATAAAGGAAAAGGACACTTACAGGTAATTTGTTAAGATTGCATAAAGTTTCAAGAATTTTTCGACATTGTTTTTTACTAGTTCGGTCTTCAATATTACAGCCAGTACATTTCACTTCTGTTTCCTTAAGTGCAGAACTACTTTCATAAATGCCAGAACTAGTGCTTGGTACAGCCAGAGCAGCTATTTGCACAATAGACTCTTCATGTAATGCTCTTATTGTCTGCAAATAATAACATATTTTACAAAATGTTGCTTTGTATCATACATCTAAACTATTAAATTTCTAAATACATAATTATTATAAACGTTATTAAAGTATCAGAATAATGAGAAACAAAAACTAAATAAAAATAAATTGTCTACCAAAAGAATATATTATGTTACTCATTTTTAATTTAATATTATGAAATACGTCATTATATAGAATATATAGGAAGTGTACATAATTCCTAAATTTCATGCATTTCCGGTAACATAATAAGAAACATGTACATATAATTAGTTAAGGTCACACGGAAAGTCTCAGATACATCATCAATATGGTCACACTACTTCATTGCGATTTCTTTTAAACAAAAACAATAAAATTGTTCAAACTTAATTAAATTCAATGTAAAACTATTTGATTTTGACAAAGTTATAATTTACTAATATGTTTAAAACACTGATAAAACGTTTCATTCAAAAAACGTTCAATTCAAAAAATTAAGTGAAAATACAAAAAGTATGTTTACAAGTATTCAATGTCAGAAGTCACTATTTAAACACTTACGTGTGAAATCTTATATCACCTCCTGGACACCAACTACTGTCGCAACCACGTACTACACAAGTTTGCACCATTTCTTGAATTATAACAATAATTAACTTTAAATATCTCAAACGACGCTGTGAACTGCTAAGTAAACAACCGCTATATTTGTCTAATTTATGTTGACATATAGGGCTAATGTTGCCATATTACCGAATCCTTAGGAAATGGGATTGTAATTCACTGATTTGTGAACCCAATAATGCATACGAGACCTTCAATTTTGGAATTTTTAATGTAACTAATCGTAGATCAACTATTTATTTGTTGGTACATTATTTTACAAAGCTTAACTTCTGATTTAGTTAGTGTGGAAATTATTTCTAAGAATTTACCGGGAGATTCAAATCAAAACATAGCAATATTGTGTTCCACACTAAAAAGAGAAGTCAGACCACAGAGAGTGAGATAAAGATACGTAGGTATTTGACTCAAGCTCAGTGTGACCATATGTGACAGGTTCCTGCCATTTTGGCAGGATTGGCCTCTTATTTTAGCCTCTGGCATGATCGGTTGACGTTTTATAAAACCTGGCAGTATTTGGCAGTATTTATAAACATTTGGGGTATTCAAATAGAGTTTATTATGGCAACTTAGAATGACGAAAATGGCAACCCTAGAGACTTCGCCAGCATGTTTGGGATTTCCCTGTATTTCTCGATGTCTCGTATTATGTTTGTATCACATTCAGTAAACAACTTTAAAAAAATTGTGCATAAAGTTCTTAATCTTAAAACGAATTAACCCGAGTTGATTAATATTTCAATCAGTTATAAAAGAGACGTACTTTAGTTTGGCATCGCATTAGATTTCATGGTGATAACATCTTGTTAATAATATTTCGTGGACGATAGTAATTATAGGTGACGGTAATGAAGCTAAAATATGAAAGGGCGTATAGAGCAAAGTGGGAGCAAGATCTTTTACTTTCATCATGGATCTCCGAAGCTAAAGATGATCCAGACTGTGTAACTGCAAATTGACACCCCGGTTGTCCGCTTTAAAGAAGCATGCCGCTACTAAAAATAGAAAAAAAAGAAAGAATATTCTCTCAAATAAATTAAATTAAGAAAAAAGCACGAAACAGATTTATAAACAAACATTTACCGTCTATCTTGTACGTTAAACAAGGCATTGGTGAGCATGGCGATTGCATTGCATGCAAACCAACGAATGGTATGTTTAATTTTAATTAAAAAAATATAGCATTTATATGTGTATTTTTACTTTTTTTAGTTTAATACAATGGTAAATAAAGTTGGCAGTATTTGGGCATTTTTCACTACAGACTTCGGCAGGATTTGGCAGGTTTTTAACCAAAGTGAGGCAGGATCTGTATTTTAAAGATGGTCACCCTGCTCAAGCTGTTGTTCCAAGTGTGGCCTCCATCTTAATCTATAACTTCATGCGTAGGCTCAGGCAAAAAATACCGATATATTAGTGATGAGTCAACTCGAGTTGCGCTTAACTCGAGTTAACTCGATTTGTATCTCCCCAAGAGTTTGGGCTGCTGTACATGAAGGAATCAAGTGAGCCAACATAAAAGTAAGAGCGCGATTCGTTCGTTGTGTGCGCGCTTTGTGTTTCAAATAGTATTTAGTTACAGTCAAAACAATTTGTTATTTAGAGATTTATAATAGCTAAGTTACATATGTAATTTAATTTCATTTATAGTTTTGATTAATTATGATCATTACAACTACGTAAATCACAGACCTATTATTGTAATACCTGAAAAGGGTGGTTAAGTTGTAAGATACATCATACTTTAAATTAACGCCAAACACTTAATTTAGAATAAATATTTTGAATTTGAAAAAGTTTGAACTTATTGAAGAATATTTTAACTGTGATAATTAATCTATTAATAGGTTATGTACTTACATCTTAAAGCTAGACTAATATTTTTTCGTGAAGGCTGCTATATAAGTTGTTTTGTTGTTAAATACAGGTACTTTAACTAATATTAAAACCAAAAATACATAAGTATGTGATACATACTAAATATAC